TTGTAATTTTACAAACACATACGTAAATACTTATAACTTTACAAATACATACGTACTTGTAATTTTACAAACACGTAAGTTATTCTTGTCCAAAGTAAGTTGTTTCTCTGTATGTGGTTTTAACTGGAGTGGTGATAATTTTTTCAGTGTCACTTTCCGTAAAAAGGTTAGGACAAGTCTTGTATCACCAGCGTAATTTTCTCACAGCTGTGTCGAGCTCTAGTCTGACATGCTAGCATAATATTATCTGAACACAAATAGCTGACTTTTACGTTGACAAGACCTTCAAATGATATCTCATAAAGATGGGTCAACAGCCCAAAACAACGAGCTAGCATTTTTTAATTTACAGAGTCCCAGTAATCACAGGCAGCAATGAAGTGATAAGGCGCCGGCGAGTCGGTGTTCCTTGGCTTTATTCCTTCCAAACACGAAAGTTTCCTGACGACACAGGTAATCCACAAAGGTTCACAGCCCAATGAACTCATCTAACCGATGCAGTCTGGTGGCGTCGGTTTTTACTCGTAAAGATGGAAGATAAGGTCAATTTCTCTTAACGTGGTGTCAGTGAGCTATCACAATCAGACTTAAGAAAGTATAAAGTTACAACAGGCATAGAAAAGTCACACGTAGTTCTTACAGAATACTCCATTGTTGAGGTTTCTAATTACAATTATATATTTCTTGTGCAAAACTGGTTTATCTCCGGCTTTTCCCAACTATATGATCTAACCGAATAAATAAAGAACGTTAAATTGGGGCCTTTAAACGACATTTTAATTGTTTTAGACTAAAGTAAAGTTACAGAGATTCATGTGCTTTAACTACGTGTAAAATTTCTTATTGTTAATTATTTTCATTCGTGTCAATACAATTTGTTTCTAATAAGAGTAAAATTATTAATACACATGCAAACAGATCTTATTTTATTCATTTTTTTCACCTATTGAGTTATACCATAGATTTTTGTTGTATTATTAGTATACACCAAACAAACCCTGCTTTATAAATTTCTAATTTACTGAGTTTTACCATACATCTTATTATGCATTATTTGTACCAAAACAAACCCTGTTTTATGGATTTTTAATTCATTGAGTTTTACCATACAACTTATTATGCATTATTTGTACCAAAACAAACCCTGTTTTATGGATTTTTAATTCATTGAGTTTAACCATACAACTTACATTTTATTATGCATTGTTAGCACACACACACCAAAACAAATACAGTTTTATTAATGTTTAATTTATTGGGATTTATCAGCCATATTATTATGCTTGTTGATTTTGTAGACAATTCAAGAAACATTATGTTTCTCTCTTTACGTGGGATGATTAATAACTGAATTTTGTTCTGCATATTATTAGAAATGTAATAATATTCTATTATTAGAAATGTAATAATATTCTATTATTAGAAATGTAATAATATTCTATTATTAGAAATGTAATAATATTCTATTATTAGAAATGTAAACGTGATATTATTTTATCAGTTGTAATTACCAAGATTTTGTCTCTCATGAGACAATTTAAAAAAAAGAGAGGGGTGGTAGGGCAGGGATTCCCGATGATTTACCTCTTAACAATCCGAGACCTCCTGCATAAATCAAAAACAAAGTCTCAATACTTTTATACTTACATGGTAATGTGCAAGGTGAAAACTTCATATATATAATCCTATTTCAAGCGTTTTAAAGGCCAATACCGAATGTTTCCATTGATAAGTATTCCTAAACGATGCGTAAATGTCGATTCAGCTTAATGCACACACACACACGTTAGGTTAACTCTGTAGAAACTGGGATTTCATGACATTTAATGCAGAATGTCAGACAATTTCAATATTCTAATTATCATTAGTGTATTTATTACTACAAGAACAACACTTTCGATAATCCAGTAACTATTATTGTCTCAATTAGCCATAGAACTACATATTGTTACACATTGACCTGGATGTAGCAGATATAGTCTGATTGACATACTGTTACACATTCTTCTATATTTTCCGAAGTCTTCTCCCGTTGACGTTTTAGTTACTTAATCCGATCCGGGAACAGTAAGAGATTACGCCTAACTTGCTGGTTCTTCTGTATGATGTGTAAAGTTAACTTAATTAAACCTGGATAATAATAATAATAATATGTGTTAAAATAAATAAATAAAATTGTGTTATTACTCCTTATCCTAATTCTGAGTTGTTAATAACTCATATGAAATTTACACCAGAAAGTTTACACTTTACAAGTTTACACCAGAAGAGTCGTTGTTCGTGTAGTTTGATAATACAAGTAGTATCTCAACCACAACCATGTCCGTCCTATCCCAGCCGGCTAGATGAGCCCCGGTATTAGACGAAAGGCCTCGTCAGCACTGGATACAAGGATAAATTGTGAAATTATTAAAATTAATTGTGTTTATTATGTGTAACATGAACGCATAAATATTCACGAACATTCTAGTTATCAGATACAATTAATGAGGCTCTTACAATTATAGTTTATTTTTAATACTCCCTCATCAAAAATTAATAAAATATTCAATTTACAATAAACTTTTTCTGTAATTAATTTATCAATCACTAATAATTTATTAGGAATTTATTGTAATATTTAATTTCTAATACTAATACATATACATAAAGATAAATTAAATATTCACACTACAATGCATTTATTAAAAAATAATAATTTTGCATTGTTTGTTTATTGTAAAACATAAAGCTACACAATGGACTATCTGTGCTCTGCCCATCACTGGTAACGAAACCCGATTTTTAGCCTTATAAGCCCATTGACCTACCGCCTAGCCACCAGGGGACATTTAAAATTGCATATGTATTTTTTATTTATCGCGAGCTTGATAAGGCTATATACCACCGTCCCTAATTTTGCACTACTGACAAGAGAAAAGTAGCCAATCAGTAACACGCTTCTGCTCACCAATCATATAATGCACCCGCAGTTAAAGTTAAAGTGCGGGGAACGTTTCATGATAGCGCATAGATTCAAACCCAGCTCACCAGCTTCGAAATCCACAGCAAGCCCTAAAAATAACTAAAACAAACAAGCTAGAGAATCCATAGCTTAAGCAGATCCTGATGCTACCGTTGGAAGCTTTGAAAAAACAACCAGTTTCTAACTTCTAGATGAAAAATTAATATCGCATTCACTTTATAATACCTCAATTGAAAAAAAAAACCTACATAATATTGACTTTTTGGGGGGGGGGAGAATAAATTAAGAAATATTTTGGGTTTTAAGGTTGTTCTGAAATGTTATATATACAATATTTTGACTTTTACTGTTTTGTAAGGATATTATTAATATAACATCTTAAGTTTTACTGCTTTTGTAAAGATATTATTGCCCCCTAGTGGCACAGCGGTATGTCT